GTGCTGGTCTCTTTTCAGTGGTGGCCACTGGTAGGACTAGAGGAAATGGCCGGAAACTGAAACATCCAAAATTCCATAGGAACTTAAGGAAAAATTTCTTGACAGTGAGGGTGACAGAGCACTGGAACAGGCTGCCCAGAGAGGTTGTGGAGTCTCCTTCTCTGGAGATCTTCAAAACCCGCTTGGATGCAGTCCTGTGCCACGTGCTCTAGGTGTCCCTGCGTATGCAGGGGGGTTGGGCTAGATGACCTCTAGAGGTCTCTTCCAGCGTTAAGCATTCTATGATTCTATGATTCTATGAGCACGTCAGCACAGAAATGACTGGTTATTTTGGGGGATGGCAGTATATGGCGCCAGAATGGCTGGCTCTGCCACATGCTTCTCCCTCCATTCGTGGCTGGATTGAGATGGCTTGTGCTGTGGAGCCTGTCACCCTGCCAGGCACATGGGTTCCCTGAGTGACTTGCTGCGGTGTACCGTCATGAGCGTGGCTTTGACCGTGACATAGAGCTGGCACCTGTCCCGCACATTGTTTTACCAGCACCACATTTGCACTCCTTCCTCGTGCAGCCCCGTCACAGCTCACCCCGCCCTGGGGCTGGCACGGCCCTGCCACCCGCTCCAGGGCTTGCAGGTGCACAGCATGGCCAGCTGGCTGGCAGCTATGCCTGGCACATGCCACCCCGAAACCAGCCCAAGAGCAAACCCTCTGAGTCTCACCACATCTCTCCAACAGTTAGTGTGTTCTTTTCAATGTGTCTCTTGGCTCACAAGTAGGGGCTGGACCTTTGCACCCAGTGAAATTCATCTATTCTCCCTGTACCAGGCTCTGTGCTTTCAGGTAGGGAGGCCCTGCAGTAGAGCATTGGACCAGCAGAAGGACTGCATAGCACTTTCCATGAGTTTGCAGTCAGCCGGATTATCACATGATGCTTGCTCCTCAGGTCGTTTTCTCTAGTTTCTAATATAGTTTGTTCTTGAGGGACTTGTCCCTTGATGTTGCTTTTGTTGTTGTTGTTGTTGTGAATGACTCCTGCTGCACCCTGCTTGTAAAAGGGGAAGAGGCAGTGAGATCTCCAGCTGACAAGCCCCTAGGCTAAACTTCGACCAGTCAACAACAGCTATATGTTAATAACAGCTGTTATTGCAGATTAGCCAAAACAGTGCAAAAACAAGCGAGACATGTACAAACCCTGTTTAAATAATGGAGAAAGACTGAAGAACTGTAACCTGACAGAGATGGGCAGAGTCTGCAGGAAAAATGTGTATGGGTGGTTCTAGTGTGATAAGGGGTGTTTTGGAAAGCCTGTGTTGTCTTTGCTGCCGATCTGTAAGACAGCCTCAGGAAAAGTCATTTTTCTATGTCTCAGTTTCTCTCAGTAAAACAAGAGGGAGATCTGCTACTTACTCCTTCTGGAAATGACACTGAGATGTTGTAGGTTTGCTAATGCTGCTGGCTGACATCTACTGGTGAACTGAACACAGCTTTGGTAAGGAAACTCCTAAACTTATGTTGCAGTTATGTGGGATCTGGAGATTTACATTATCCCTTTAACTGTGCCGAGTTAGCCTTGCTCTTTGCTGGACGAATGCAGCCCGTTCTTGGAGCAGTGCAGGGAAGAGACACTGGAGGGAGCTTTCCATGCCCACGGCCACCACTGAGTGCTGTTACCTCTCTGTAACAAGAGCCTGGCATCAGATATCTCTGCAGCGTTTCTTCCTACCATTTTTTTTTGTCCACCCTGTGCAACTCAGTGCATCTCTCCCTGCCTCACCTCTGCTTGATACTGTGGCTGTGACTTTGCCCTCTACCCCTGCTGACACTGTGAGCTCTTTAAGGCAGTCCCTCGGTCAGAGCCTAAGCTCAGCCCACAGCCATCTTCTGCCAGACAGGACAGTTTGCATGGTTACCTTGTACAAACTGAAACAAAAGAGAGTCATGCACATACCACAGAGGAAAAATACTTTACTTTTCCCATGAGACATATCACCTAAATGGCCCCACCTTCTAATGGGAGACCCAGCAACACACATTTGGAAGTAGGAGCTGCAAGGACTTATTGACTAGTGAATTTATGTATATATTTCTCAACTAGCTTAAATAAACAGTTAACAATGACACACAAATGATTGCTTGGGATGTGTATTTGGCTTGCCTGCTCTGGGACACATCATATATATGGCAGCATGTTCGACAAGGAACAGACAAGACAGTTGCACAGAGCTGTATAGGTAAGAGAGAAGACATTAATGCAGGCACAGATGTATACCACTATCAAGACTTGTTTTACACTGAGAACGATGCTGGCACAACCCAAAGCAGAACACTGAGTGGCCTTTCTTCAAGAAAGGAGGCAGGAAGGCAGAACAAAGTCTCCCAGCCAAAACAATATAAGGAAGATCCTTCCTCTATTCATCTCAGCACACACACAGTTCATTAACAGCAAGCTTCACACCATCAATCGTGAGCATGTTTCAGTTCTGACATTTGTAAGCAAGTGTGTGTTTATTATTAGTGCCTATTACCAGGTCTCACAGCTCCTGCTAGGCTCTCATCCCTCAACGACTCTCTCCTTTGGTTTGTCAGAGTTATCGTATAGCTATGGACAGCTATTGTGTAGCTACGGTCAGGCTGCTTTGCTCCATGGCTGCTCCTGAGGTTCCTCAGAAATTCTCAAGGGATGCTTTTCCCAGAACATAGCAATCTTTCAGAAGTGGCAACATGGGATGCCCCTGCACACCACCACACTTACGTTATCACTCTGCATAGAAGCATTAATGTAAGTTGTTAGCAGTCTGGTACAAATCACATTTCCAAAAGTTTTAACCCTACAGAGCTTATCTGAGGTTAACCACTGTTGAATAGAAACAGACAAGCTATTTCAAATACTTTTAGTATGGTCCTGTCCTGAAATTTATCATGAACATGTTTCACCCCAGAGCTCATTGCCTTTCAGCAGTGAACAGAAATGAGCCCTATAAGCTTTGTGATAGCCCCAGGATGAAGTTTACTGTAAAAACTGGAAATTAGTCCAACTAACATGTGAAGTCTTATCCCCACTCACTTCGATGAAAGATCTTGTGCCAACATTTCGCAAATATATTAACCACTGGTGTGCTTGTTATGAGTGCAGTAATCCAAGTCATGCAAAACAGACTGTTGAGCTGGAGAATAGACTGAAAGGCCTGATTCTCCAGAGGCGTAAATCAGAATATACCCACTAAGTGCAGTGTTGAGTTACACTAACTTCAATAGTCTGCATCAGTTACAGAGGAGGGGAAAAGCCTCAGTAAAATGATGAATGCCTAGAGGAAAAAGAAAAGCATTTTACACCTGTTGGAAAAACTGATGTTCATCTCATTTTCACAACATTCCTGAAATAAAACAGTGTTGACACCTACAACTGCAAAAAAAAAGTTTTCTTGGTTTAAAAATGTATTATAACTTTGGAGACATGATGCCAGTTTTGAGAAATGTCTTGGACTGAAGTTTATGATTCATGAAGTTAAATAGCCTAAAAACTGAGCAAATTGAAAAACTGAGCTGTGTTAGAAACCATGTTAGCAGAAGATGGTTCTCCAACATTCAGGACTTAGGACTTAGCCAGTAACAAATTCCTTCTGTAGGCATTTGAAATATCCCTATGATATTTCAAATCTCCTCCTAATTACAGCATGAGTCAACTCTCATTTCAATTATCTTCCTCCTAAATTCTGACTCTAAGGTAGAGCAAGGGTTACCAAAGCATTCTGAAAGTAAACTATTATAGAAAAAAAATACTGAAAATACTGTTAACAATCAGGTAGATATAAATAACTAATTTCTTATTTCCATCTCACACTGATGATTACATGACCCTTGTTTACGTAACTTTGTCCTACAATAAGAATAAGCTTGTAGGTGTTGGGAACAAGTTGCAATGTGCAGCTCTGGACACAAGTGTTCCCAGGGCTCTGGCATCTTCAGTTCCTGAGACAGGATGAGTTTGGACCAGCCTGTTGACAGATAGAATTCAAACAGAAAATCTGTTTCCATAATTCTCTTAGTCTAGAGATACTGGGGCTAGAAGCTCTACATTTATGGTGTCATCACTTATTTTGGAAAAAAATAGCATCCTTTCTTCACATCACCAGTCCCTGCCAACAGTGGTGTCCGTGCTCAGCTGACTATTCTAATTGCAGGGAAACCACAGACATTGACTTAGTACCTTGGGAGCCGGAATGGAAGTACTGGGCTGTTTGCTAGAAGTGCACAGACTGAGGCCAGGTGTTCTTGGGCACCCAAGACCCTGGTAAATTTGACCTGGACAAGCTGGGACAGATCCCATTTTGTGCAGAGCTGCCACTCAAGCTGTTTCTTCGTAAACACTCCGTTCCCCAGCCTTCTGGTTCTCCTTTTCCTAGCTCATGTGGGTTCTGGTGGACCAGTTCTTCCTGACTGGATTCTTCCTCCTGTTAACCAAGAGAAATAGTGACTGTGTTGTTAGGAACACACCAAGAAGTCTAGCAATATTGCAAACAGCAAGACAAGGCTGTGCACAATCCTTGAATATCTTCCCACATTCTTCCTGAAACCAGTACAAGTTTCTATTAATGATCAAATATACTGCTTGCTGCAATACTTTGGTGAATGAACATTCAGACACTGGACAGATGAGAAAAATCAGCCCTTCTCACCTCCACAAGAATGCTGTGACAAGGCAAGCCTGCAAGCAAATGTTCAAAGCAGCTTGGGAGCCTGTTCGCATCAGAAGTAGGACCTAAACACTCTCTTTCAGAGAGAAAATGGTCACAAGAATGCTCTGCCCAAAAGATAATCTTCCTTCTGGCTCAGTGCATGCTGTTAGGCTATTATTGTTATGTGAGCCGTCAAAACAAGAAAACGGTCCTGCGGGACCCCTACTTATTGCCTTTGTCTTTAAAGCTGAATGCCTAAACGTGCTGGCTCATGCAATACAGGCAGTCTTCAGCAAAAGTCACAACTTTACAATGAGAGGTTGTGGGCAAACACTGTCTTCCACTCTGTGGATCCATAGTCCACACATTCTGCAGTCCACAGAATTATCATTATCTGCCCTTGGTGTTTTCTGGTGGCTGGGGATAAGCAAGTACAAGTGAATTGTATCCATTTGCCACAAGAATGAGCATGGTGTCAAAGGAGCTGGAAGATGTTTTAAATGGTATTGTGGTTAACTGAGGGATATAAAGGAAGAGTTTTGATGCTACTGTCCTCAAAGAGAAGGCGTTTGATGCAGATCATGCCCAACTTTTATTTGAATGGAGATTTGAAAAGCATAGGTGATATCAGATCCATTCACAGAGCAGGGTTGGTCACCTGCCCTGGAGCTAGTCCAGATGCCTGGTGGAGGGTTACCAACCTTACTAGCGTTATCCAAAGATTTGCCTATCAAGTCCTTCCACTTTAGCTTGTTTATCTCCAGCACCTCTAGTTTTCTCACCACCGCATCGATCTTGGAGCTGATGCTGTTGATGGACTGTTCCAGTTGCAGCACACGTTGCAGGAGTCTGGGGAAGACAGTGGGAACACTCTCAAACTTTCTTCTATGACTGACACCAAGATTTGCAGATCTCTCATGCACAAGTCAGATGTCACAACAGAAGCACACGTTCCATATCAAACTGATTCATATCCACTGTACATGTAATGCTGCACTGGGCTTTCAGCTGTAATTGTGACTTTACTGAGGCAGATCCCAAACAATTTGGATCACATTCCATCTACAATCTAATTTCATTATGTTTATTATTGCCCCTGCCTCTCCTTTGACAAGGCCTTATGGGGATAGTTTTGTGTGTCTCTGCAGCGGAATTGGGAGACCCTGATTTTCTGTACTGTATTTATCCATGTTATTCTGCAGAAGAAACAGGTTTATATTACTCTCAGATCTAGAAGGTGAAGGCCATATAAGCTCTAAGCCAAGTATATTTATTCCCTCAGGATCTTCTGTAAAGATATCAACTTCCCCTACATCTAGGTGACTCTGAGCAGGGGTGGGGATGGATTAGATGGCCTTCAGAGGTCCTTTCCAACCTCAACCATTCTGTGGTTCTGTGAAATGTTGTCCAGGCCATCTTCTAACCTGAAGCATGACAACATATTACCTATCCATGGCCAGCTGACACCTGCAGAGATTATTTAAGAGGCATAGAAGAAAATTACTCAGTTCAGTCTTTAACAGAAACAAGCAGAGTACATCACAGGAACTGTCCCAGTTTTTCTCTGATTTGCTTGTCTACGTGTGTACATGTAAAAAGGGACAAGCTCCCACTGCAGCTGCTCAGCACCAGCGTAAACAGTTACAGTAGAGAAGGAAGCAACAGAGATTCACACCCTTCATTTGCAGAGGGACTAAACTACCAGCACCAACATACACTTGCAACTCTTCTTTGGAGACCCAGCTGGCCTTATTGGCATGGTTAGTCTTTGCTTCCAGGTAGGCCAGATTCTCATCCAAGTTGTTGCCATCATAGGATTTCCCCAGGTTTTCAATCTCCGTATTCAAAGCAACCTAGAAGAGAGATACAGAAACTTCTGCAAAGATGGATAACAACATTGCACCAGCTTCACCATGAACAACGCTTAGCTTCAAACTGTCACACACTCAACTACTCTCCCAGCAGAGACAGAGCAGTGCTGCCTGCTTAGTTTTCACCTCCAGCTCAAAGACTCTAAAGGTCACTGTAGAGTGGCCTGTACAAAGTTTTCTCCTTCGCTATCCTTTTACCCTTTTTTCCTCCAAGTCATGCTTCATCTGCTGCTGCTCCTCTTCATCAAGAATCTGGTTGCCATCTTTGTCAAACCTGGAGAAGGTTGCTGTGATCTCTTTGTCTGTATGGCCTAGTCTATAAAAGAAGAGAAAGCCCAAGGCTCCAAATTACATAGGTAAGCTTTAACAGTCAACGATCTTTGCTTTTGAAAGTGACACATTGTTGACATCTGCCAGTGAGAAGCAGAAGCATTCCAAATAGGAAGACAACAGCAAAACAACTCAATTTAGAACAGGAGACTAAACATGTCAGGAAAGGAGGCCTTTACCATTTCTATGTCTTATGTCATCCAGAAATGAGCTAACTTCTGTCCAGACCTTGAAAGTCACAGAGTTTAAATTATTTGTATTGAGAAAAGGGTAAGAGCATCCCTCAAGTTGACTCACTTCTTCAAGTTGTTCTTGAAGTCCTCAAAGTCCAGTTCTTTTGTTCCATTCTGCAGTGCTTTCTGTACATCAGAAATTCTTTCCTTCTTCAGTTTCAGCCTCATCAGTGTCCGGTTGTAACTCTTAAAGGTGTAAATAGACATCGAATTAAGGTAGAACAGTGAGAAATAAGGCAGAGCTAGCAGTGGAATACTGGTAGCTGAAGGAATACTGATGCTTAGTAATTTGGAGAGATTTCAAGCTTTCCAGAAGCAAAATGCAACACTGCATTTTGGGCCCCATCTCTAAATTAGAACCACCTCTTAAAGAGTTATCAGTATGATACCCTGTGCCCATAAAAAAAATTATCCTCCGATTTTCTTCTCCTTTCTCCTCCTTTATCTGAGCTTACAGAACTTCCAGCAAGCAATTTTGATGTCTCAAATATTGTTCATTTCCTGGATACTGGTCTATAGCAGAGACATCTGTGAACTTCCAGGACCTTTGCAGGAGTTTTGCTGAAGAAAAATCTGGATGCCGCCCACCATATTTTCACCACTGTAAAATGCTCAACTCTGCAAAGTAGAGCCTGACACTTCCTTTACTCCAAATCAGAATGCACCACGTCATGGTGACTGAAGGAACTTCATCTAGTGATTGCCATGAGAAGGAAAGTATCTAGGAAATACTTCTGGTTGCTCATGCTGAAGTGAGGAGCTTCCTCCAACCCCTACTTTCTGATCTCTTCATTGCCAAAGGGTCTGTTAGCTTGATCTACCTCAGTTGGGGACCACTGGCACCCCAGATGCTACTACATGAAGGGAGATCTGGATTTGGAAACCAGATTTTTCCTATGACAAGTTTCACATGGGTCAGGGATTCCAAGAACACATTTTGGGTTTAAGCTCTCAAGTAGTACAACTTGCCATCTTCATTACCTGCTTCAAGATGTCTGAGAGCTGTAGCTCATCCTTCTGGCTTGAGAGCTCCTCTTTGACTTCTGAGTAGGTGTCATTGATGATGGCCAAAAACATATTCTGGAGAAAGGAAAAAAAGAGATGGAATAATATGAAACACCTTGTCTATCCCAGCAGTTGAGGCAGCAAGAGACCAGCATAGCCATGCAGGGCTCTGTTAAACAGAAGCTATTCTCATTTGGGGGGTTCCTAAGGGACAAATGAAAGGCTGATCCTAGTTCAAATACCATCTCTGCTAGCCTACCCTGTACAACATTATTTAGATTCCTAGTTATTGTATTATATATTAAATTTTGGCACTGTGAACATCCCTTCACACTGCCAAGGAAGACAAGGACTGTCCCTTGTGCTTTCCTCCCTGCCTATTAAGCAGCAGCTAGTCTGAGCATCCTGAATTCTCTTACTGCACTAGTGGTATTCCCTGTCATTCTTAAGCTCTACCACAAATACTATGAATTGGCCTTTAGTCTTTCTGAGCCTCAAATCTCCAATTGCAATACTCTTTTTCTACTTTGGTCTGTTTGTGCTGTGCAGCTAATGTAACAGGGACATTCTCAAAGCATCTATATCACATCAAACATGGGGGAGGGATTGCCACGAGAGGCCTGCCAAGCACTCTTCTTGATATAGAGGCAAGGAAGCCCTTCTTGCTTACCAGGAGCACAAAGAAAACAAAAAACACATAAGTGACGAAATAAATAGGCCCAAGGACCCTGTTGGCATTGTCAATGGAATTGTAGTCAAAGTCACCAAGAATGATCCGAAATTGGGTGAAGCTGGAGGAAAGGAAGAACACAAGATTACAAAAATGCATAGACATTTATCCTACCTAAGACAGTCCTAGGGTGAGTCCTGAACCTGCCCACAGCCTGAATGGCCACAGACATAAGGCAGAATTGGATCTAAGTCACTCAGTCTGACTCGTTAAGCAAATTTACCCCTAGTGCAAGGGGTAAATGAAGTTGAGCTGATGAGAGCAAGAGCTGTCTGGAAAGTAAAACTTCATTTCCACACAATTTTTTGTGTGTCTAAAGTACATTTGCTCCAAAGAAGAGTTAAAGAATAAATTTGGAATTTTCCCTTATAATGGCATTTTGACTCAGGACCATAGGAGCCTTCCATGGATACAGAGACTATGAAAACATGGGGAGAATGTTACTACAGGCCAGTGATTTGCAACCTTTTGCAGTTCATAACACCTAAAATAAAGCAAGTCTAATGAAGAGAAGATTCCTTCTTTCCAGTCACCTCCCACAGACCCTTTAAAAAGTCTGGATGACAGATCTGTAGAGCATAGGCTGAAAACTATTGCTGTGCCTATATGTCTTCCTTAACATCACACATTGCCTAAGGGAATGTGTCGACTAAAGGATTGTGTCAGATGCACTTGGGTCATTCTCTGCAGCATTTTTCTCCTCCAACTCCTTTTCTTGTGGGAAGTCACAATGTGACGTTTCTAAAAAATTATCCTGAAAGACTAAACTTAACTGTCTGTATTTATTACACAAGTTGAATTTGCAACCAGTAATAGAAAAAGCAGGTGTCTCATGGAAACTATTTTCTGGGTGACCAAATTCAGCGGCAAAGTTGGCAAAAGTTCCTTCACTGCCACCCCTTTCTGCAGGTACTCATCCGCCTATTCTCTCTTCCCACTGTTCATTCACCATCTCAGGTGCCCAGATGCATCATTTGCAGGGCTGCTTTGGAAATGGATCAGTGGAATGACTCTCAAGAAGAAAAAACAAAAAATCCCACATCCACACAACCACAAACAAACTCCAAATTCCACACCCACAAACCAGCAGTGCAGCCCTGTGCTGATAAGGCCTTGTCCTGCCTGAAAAGGCTGATAAGGCCTTGTCTTGCCTGTCCCTCTCACTGCTTTCTTTTTTCTTGAGGATGTTAGAGCAGCAGGACAGCCATATTAGCCACACTGGCTTTATTACATGAGATTCTACAGATCCTGAACTGACACACTGATTTGCAGTTGGGTGCAACTGGGATTGCAGACTGGTTGTCAAGCAGTTAAAATTCTGGTACCGACAGCTGAAAATCACAAAAATATAAGTATGACTTACACACTTACATGCATTTGACAAAGGTACTGAAGTTTTCCACTTGTGTTCCAAAAAGAAGGTAACCCAGCTGGGCATAGGCAAAGAAGACAATGAAGAACATAATGGCAAAGCCCAGGATGTCCTTAGCACAGCGTGCCAGTGTGGAGGACAGTTGGGTCATTGTTTTATTAAAGCTAATATACTTGAATATCTGCAAGAAAGATAGATCAGGGACAAATCCATCATATGTACGTGCCAACTAACATGCTAGCTATCATATGTACATGCTAACTAAGGCAAGATGGTCCTTACAATACCAAGGCAGTAAAGATACAAAGAGGCTGGGGGAACTGGTGGCCTAGGGTTTGAGATGTTTGCCCCAGGTGCATCACTACCTTCCTATGGAACCAAAAGCAAGTTTATTTGTTCCTTGTGTCTCAGGAAAACATAAAGAGGGACCCCTGTAAGGACTTATGAATTGAGGATAATGAGAAGCTCTTGGTGTGGCATGGTTTTCCACCATGTCGTGAGGTTTTCATTGAAATAGAGAGCCCAAACAGAGAAACTGTTTTCAGCTGTCGGGTGGCCATCAAGAAATAACATGGCTTGTTTGATTGTCCACATGAAAATCTGTCTGGTTTTCTCATAAACAGAATGTACTTCTGAGGTCTTTCTCCGTTCTATAGCTTTTACTCCCTCCCACTCAGGAGAGACAAACACTGAACTATCTAGAGGAAGAGGTCTGAGACTGCAGCCCTTGCACCTCTTAGACCCCTATAATACCTTGATCCAGGCAAAAAATAAGTTGACTGCATTCATATTGTTGTACTGTGTCTGCCAGAATGCCAGGAACTCGAAGTCTGCATAGGTGTCCGGGTGTTTCAGCAGCTCTCCCATCAGTCTGTTCACCTCGATGGTGCGAAAGATGTGAAACCCAATAGCAACAATGGAGAGCTGCAAAGAGGAAGCGTCTGCAGTGACTGCTGTGCATATGGTTTCCACATGAATTCAAATGTCACATAACTCCTTGGTATTGCTGCACAGCTGTAACCAAATATGGGGATGGAGATAAGATCTTAATACACTGGATAATGCCCTGACCAAACTCATAGGCCCTCAAGCATCCCTATGGAAATAATTTTCTCCTAATAAGCAATTGAAGAGTATATGTTCACCTTGTTCTGCTAGTTCATTTTGCTTTTGGAGCAAAACACAGGCCGACTTTTGTCTTATCTGGCCAGCTTCCCTGTTCCTTTTTTGGTTTGGGCCCTTATAGCTCCCTGCCATTGCTCTCCCAAAACAAGCAAGAATCCTCACCAGAATGACAACCACATCCAGGATGTTCCAGATGCTGCTGAAATACTGAAGTTTATGGATCCGCAGTTCCAGGATCTCCTCTACCACATAGTAGAAGATGAAGACACAGAAGACAATTTCACAGGCAACAATGAAGAAGTCCCATGTGCTGACATATCGAATAAGCTTGACTGTCCGGATTTGCCAGGAGGGAATGGCACCACCAGTGGCTGGAAACTCAACCACTAACCTTGAAACAAATGAACACACACATCCTTGTAATTTGTATAATTACGAATGGGATGATGGACACTCCTAAATAAATTTTAGAGGGATCAGACTTAAACATGAGCTAACCACCAAACTAGGAGTGGAAAAGATGTGCATGTGTTGTTTGCAATCTTATCTCTGATGCTTCTCTGTTTATAATAGGACAGGTAGAGAAGTCAAGAATGACTATTGCATCAGGAAGACGGAGCCTTCTTGCTAATACATGCAAGAGATACTGATGCCTCTCAGTCCTACCTGCAACAGACCAGATATTTATGTTATAAGAATCTCTGGCATTGAGGAAGAAAAGAGAGGCAGAAGGGTTTCCAGTGAGACAGCCTACCTGAGAACACAGAAGAGATTGATATTTGCATTATACACTGAGAAATCAATGAAGACAACACGTGTCCCCCGATCCAGCCACAACTTCTCTTTCAAGACCTTCAGGGCTTCAGCACTCTCTTCTCTGGTCAACTTGAGGTCTATGTAGTATCCTCCCCCACTATAGCTGGTTAGTCTTCCCCAGTGAGATGAGCCACCCAACTCCTCCTCAGAATGGTACCTCCACCTGCAGGAGACAAGCCACAAGCAAAAGCATCACATTTCACAGGCTTGGATATAACTTAGCAGGCAAGAAAACACACAGCTATATTCTTGAGGGACAAAGGGATTTAATTCATGAGTTGCCACCTAACTCTTTATTCTGGATCTGAAGCTACATCAGTTCTTCATTGTTGATAGACTTATGAACTACTGCTTCCTGGCAGTGACATAACTTGCTGTGTAATAGAGGGATGATCCTGCAGGTTCGTAGGCTATTCCACTGCCTGCTTTGGCTGGAGGTTACTTCCAGGTTCTGCTGTATTGTTTTCTACATGCTTGCATTTATTTTGTCTTACAAGCAACATCTTTTCTTTCACAGACCAAGACACATGCAGTGATCATGGAGTTAATAAGCTGCAGTAGGGTCACAGTATAGAGAAAAATCCACATCAATCACATGAATTATCATTAAAAAAATCCAAGTGTGAGACAAAAAACCTAGCACTGGTTTTACGGGTTGCATGCTATTTCAGTAAGGAAGTTAGGAGCACTGTGTCTTAAGAAAACGATTAGACACTTCTAACCTGGAAAGCAGGCCAGATTTTTTTTTTCAAGGTGAAAAGGATGCACTTCCTTTTTTTCCAGCTCCTAAATTCCAGGAGGGAAGCAAATAATGTCATGCATTTGTTAGATCTGATCCCAAAGGTTTCTATCTATCCTCATTCTCTTAAAAAGAAAAAAAAAAAGATAAAGAAAAAGAAAACAACACACACACTCTATACCTAAGTTTCCTCCTGTTTTCTTGATGCTTCCCCAACATATCTCACTGCCCCTCATTCTGTTCTACTTTTCCTCAGAGACACACTTGGCTTTATTGATAGACACAAAGGACTCACTGTCTCTGTCTCAAAGGGAATTCCAGCCTTATGCAAGAAACTTATTTCCCAGATCCTGCAGTTCAGTAAATCTCATTTTAGCTAGAAAAGACCAATTAGGGGCAATTAAACACACACAAACAGATTTTCTAGCCCTGAATAGTAGAAGGGGATTCACTTACGCTGTTCCATTGATAAGTCCAAAAGAGACTCTTTCCTCCTTTTCTTCTGAGTATACATCATAGCAGCCTGAGATTTCCTCCTTGAAGTCATCATGGACCACACAAGAATTGTTCTTTACCTTCAGCTGCCGCACACGCGGGACGCCCAGCAGCAGGTTCTCATAATAGATGTATGACTGGGTGCTGTGAGCTGCTAGGGACTCGTTGTTGTACCACTTGGTCCAGTAAAGATTATTCAGAAGGGGGCCTTGTGTATACTGCCAGAAAGGGAGACGAGAGCATCTCATTCATAGCCCACAACTCAGAAAGCTTTTCTTGGCCTGGGCTTGAGGCAATGAGACCTGACCTGGCTCTCTCCACTCCCCAAGCTGGGAAGTGGTAGAGCTCATGTTGGCCATGTGCTAAGGAGGGGAATGACCAGGGCTGGATGGAGCTGTAGGGAGGAAGAAAGATGCTGGACAAGAGCTGGACAGGATGGTGGCTACTGGCTCCTCATAGGCCTATAAATACACTTGCTTGTACCTTGTGCTAACAAAGAGATGAAGGGTCTACACACTTATTTGTCCCTTCCTCTTCAGTGAGTGCAAATTTGCAGTAGTAGCCCTGGCACCTGCTGGGAATTACAGGATGGAAAAGAGATGTACCAGAGCCATGGAAATAGCGGGGAAAACAGTGCCATAGAGTTCATTGTACTTTTCTAATATTTCAGAAAAAGACAAAGAAAATTGACAGCCAGTTTCTGCCTTGCTGGCAGAAGTGACTGCAGTATCTCAACAGCCTTCACTGTGGCCCATCTTATTCCTTCTTAGTCCTTCTTCTAGAGCACTGTTCTCCTATTCTGATAAAAGTTAGTGCACAATTTAATTGAGCTTCCTCATAAAGAATCTACAGATCAGGCTGGTCCAGGCCTGCATTATAGACAGGTTAAATATACAGTTCCCACAGATGCCCATGAAATTTGAGCTATGCACACTGCTTGCGTACCTCACCATACAATCCAAAGCCATTTCTGTCACATGGAAACCTGGAGAAATTCACCTGCCCTCTCTGGGCCTGAGTTCCCTCGTCTGTGCGATGAGCATCACATCCCAGCAGTTTCTTTTTCCTGTTATATCCTGTCTGTTCAGGTGATAGGTTTCTGGGGAAATGGAGTCTTCCAGGCACTCACAATGCCTATCTTAGCCAGTATTCCAACTGCACAAAATCCTACAGGTACAGAGAGCTATAGTGGAGAGCCCTAGTGTCAATAGATTTCCAACACTCCTTACACGGCCAGATGTGTACTCACCACCCAAAAATCAGCCATGCTGCTGATGGACTGGAAGGAAATGCTGCTGTCTGAAGAGGTCTGCAAGAAGAGCTCGGACATCACTTTTGTGTAGTAATAGGCATTGGAACTTGTCATTCCATATGTCACTACAAGAGAGGAGAGGAGAGGGGAGGGGAGTCTTCTCTTGTATCTAAATACTAGATCCTGATTTACATTCACTGTCTGCATTGCTTGTGCTACCACAGGTAAGTTGAAAAAGAAAAGAGCTTGATGCTAAGTAAAAATACTTCAGCTTCTCCCAGCAAGACATGATCTGGAGAAGAGTCTGGGGAGAGAAAGCGTTTGTTGGATCAAGCCATGTGCCTCAGAGCCCAGAGCCCTTGAGGCAACACTGATGAGAGCAATCTCAGCTTCTTCACTCCCTTCTGCCATTAAATCTACCCTTGACTATTCTGTCCCACTGTGGTATCTTAGCTTCTTTTGCTTCCTCAGAGCAGCAGCTCTCCTGCAAGGCTGGTTTCACCTTCAAAGCCTCAAATGTCCTGACTCCTCTCTTTCTACCATGGTAAGGAAGAGGGCAGGGAATCCTATTCCTTTTCGCTGATCTCCTGACCTTTTATCCAAATTCAAAGGGGCTATTCACACTGAAGGTCCTACAGATGTATTTAAGCACTTAAGGGAGTTTAGCCTTGTATTCCAGCACTAAATTTCAAAAGTTCAGAATTCAGTCCTGGATTTGACCCAGAGGAGATTTCTATTGAAGAAGAAACATTGCTAACTCTTAACACATTGCTTCCTGTTTATCAAGGGATTTGCAACCTTATTTGTTGTGTATTCTGGGATTTAAACGATCAGATTGACAGACCGAGTTTAAAGGACAGAAAAGACCATTAAATTATGTAAATGAAGCTCCAGGGTGACACAGAATAATTTTTCTGTGAAAAAAATTTCTCTCAGAAATTCTCTTTGGCAGAACAGATCCCATATCTGTATTTTGAACACCTTAGTCCTGATCTGAAGCTATGAAGGGACAGAGATTACCCCACTTCCTCATAGCTAAGCTCCAAGTCAGTTCATTTACCAAGGAACTTCAGAAAAGAGCAAGGTCATTTAAGCCCACTGAACATGTTGCTTCAGCTCCTCAGGGCACTCTGGGCAGGAAAGCATCCATTACCGTGATCCCTGAAAACACGTCCTACTGCTCAATGGGCACCATAAAGCAGCTGACATTCAACCACTGCCCCCAAGATGAGTCAGAGCCCACTTGCGTGTGCACATGTATCTGTTATGGTTATTTTGCAAGAGCAACTGGGACGCTGTTTCCCTGGGTCCGTGTGATAGTAATTCAGATCAGCATTGTCTGCGTATCTCTCCTGCCATAGCGGCCATGAAATAAAGGCCTTTTCACTGTTTCATGACACAGGTGCTCTTTTGTGATAAAAAAATGAAGCTTCCCAAAACAAACGGCCATTGCTCTACCTACACAAAGGCCATCAGCAGTTGGAACACGGCTGCATTAAATCCACACAGGGACAACAATGTGAGCTGCCACCTGCATTATCCCCTCAGCTCCACCCCCACCCAAATCTGAGAGGGGAAAATATTTCTGATTCTTGTATTTTGGGATCCTAGGAAGTTTCTAGAGCTTCTCTCTGGTGCTTGCCATGAAGCTGCAGACAGTTCCTGGGCAGGTGCTCTCAGTAGCCCTGTGGAGCTGATGGGTAGAACCCATGGAGTAGTGCAGAAAATACTGCTTAAACATAGCCTGTTCCAGTATAGTCTAAAGCTATATTTAAATTATAATAATTTTATATAATTACATAAAATTATTTCATTTATGAGTGCAATAGCTATTTTATCAGTTAACACCATGTCTGTGCTGCAGTGAGTACATGTTCAATAAAATGAACATCTGAAATAGCGGGAAGAAGGCCAGTTACAAGACCACATATTCCTCCTCTCACACTCTGCACAGAAAAGCCACCTATGAGATGTCATAGCTACTTACATAGACAGATATCCACCAAGAACACAATGTAGACCAGCAGCTCGCGCAGAGTCGTCTTTACATAGAGCTCTCGGTTTTCAGCTGTGTTTTCGGTCAGTGTAGTACCCCACAGACCTGTTAGGTGGAGAGAAGAAATAAGTTTGACAGTCATTCTCAGAGGCCTCATGAGGAGCTGAAGCCCTGTCTCCAAAGAATTATTGAGCTGTTGCAATTTTGTTGCTGTCAAAAGAAAACCTTTCATTTAAAACACACTTTTTGTTTCAAAACTTCACTAAAAGCTGAAAATCATTCTATTGTAAGCTAAGATTTGTCACTGACAAAAAGTAAAATACGTTGTATTTCTTATTTTGCTAAAAAACTTTCCTGGTTTATGCTTCAGTTTCAGTCTTATCTTTTCGGCCAGTTTTTCAGCTAACACTTTGCAGAAAAATCAGTCTTTGTCACACATATTCTTGAAACCACAAAACTGCAACTCACTCATGCACAAGCCAACACACAACCTCCTGATAGGACTTTCAGCAGCAGAACTGCATTTGATACTAGCTTTATACCTACACTTCCGTCCTTTCAGCATATACGGAACTATCTGTCCTCAAATATTTGTCCCTTGCTTTCTCAAAAACCCATGCAGATTTCTTGTAGGTCATAAGACTTGATCAAAATACCTCAAGTCAATATTTCAAACAGAATTTGATGTCAGGATATATGCCAATGGAGAACCATTGACTTCATTGCAGTCATGGCTCTTTACAACAGCTAATGATCTGCTTTCTTCACACAGCAAAATCAAGTCATTAAACATCTCTAGGGTTGATCAAAAGGAGAGAAACATTTACTTTAAAGTGAACTTTGCCATATTGGTGTCGATGAACCACCTCACACCATTAATTATTTGTTTGTTCTTGCTGTAGTGAGTTTCTGCCACGATTGCCAAGAGTCTCCTGAAGCTGAAAAGCACAAGAATTTTCGCTTGAAAGTGTACTGATGGAATCCACATCAATAATGCTGACAGACTTGCTCCTTTCTGCAGCTCCCAGACAGCTCAGCTCCAATGCCCACCCTGATTAGCATGCAACCATCATCCCCTGCAAGCCAGGATCAAAGCTGATCAAAGGCCACACAAAGTAAGCAGCCCCTGGCAGAGGAAGAGAAAAAGCTTTTTGCTTTGGATCAAGCAAAGTGGTATAGTGTTCTGTGTGATACCAAAAGTGATAGTATAAATTGGTGTGTGTATTTGTATATATTTATATATGTGTGATATAGAGTTGCAGTCCTTTTGATATTTTATATATATATGTATATATATATATATAAATCTCAGACCAGAGAGCATTTTACACCTTTAGCTAGCATCCTCACCCATTTCTGAGCAGACAAACAGTAGCCTGCTCTGATGCTGCTGAGAAAATCAAGAAAAACCTGGAGGTCATCTGGGTTAACTCCTGTGCAGGAGAGTGGCATGCACTCTACAGGGCCCTTCACAAAAGAGAAAAACAGCAGAGAACACAAGAACAGAGACCCACTAGGTGAGAGCCAAAGGTAAGGCTTGGGAAGTAGAAAGGAAAGGCAAGCTACTCAGACGGGGGCACAAGTGAGCATTCTACATTTGAATTAGCTTCTCCTGTTGGTGTTCTGAGCAATGAACAACAAGAAAATGGAAACATAGTCTACTGCAGCCAAACCATCTGTTCAGGTTACTTTTAAATGAGTCCTTCCAACTGTAGACGAGAGCATGTCACAGTCTGAAAATATTCTTCCATGAGGCAAGGAATCTCTAGAATTCCCATTCTGCGAACAGGAGTTCCTTCGCTACAGGAGGGGAAAAAAAAACAGTGCACTCAGAAACCAGAATTCCAGGATACCCAAATACGCCTAAAAACTTGGTCCAGAGAATTGCCAGAAATTACACCTAACTGAATCACGTTCCATACTGTGTCTCTTTTGTCATTGCACTGCCTTGGATAGCTGGGAATGGAGCTCATGTGGACTAGAAGGATGCTCAAGACCAGAGAGTATCCAGACTTCCTCATGGCACCTTGCAAGGCTGAGCAAGAAAAAAAAAGAAACCAGACAACAGAAAAATCTGCCCAGGTTTCATTTGTAATTCTTGTCCTCCTTCAACATTATCTCCTGAGGCTGCTCTTAAATGAGACCTGTGAAGCAGGTACGTGCCAAGCTCAGTCTCAGGTACACCTTCTTTTTCCAAAGGCAGTGCGAACCCACATGAGAACCCAAGACAGCTAGAAAAAATCTGTCTGTAGGCTGCCTGTGAGGAGGCAGAAGCTGCAGGACAGAGTTGCTTGAAATCAGTTCAGAGGTGCAGACCTGAGCAGTTACACTGGAAGGAGCAGCTACTCACCAGTGGGATGACAGCTTGTAGTCCAGTCCTATAGTTGGTGAGGATTAAGGAAGATCTCAGCAAACAAACCCAAGAGCCATGGACAAGTAACTCCAAGGAATGGTTGTTAGCAAGATAAACAAACTGTCCCTTTCTGTCCTTAGACAAGTGATTTATCCTTCCCCATCCAGTATGTGTGAGGCTGTCAGAAGCCTCTTCTCACCTGCACAGCTGTGAGCTGTTCTGCAACCTTACAGCATTTACCATCCTCACTGGCAGGACACACTGCTGCAACAGCCATGACAGAAAGGAATGCTGTAGTGTCCTGAGAGCTGCTCATTTGCACTCTTCAGTTTCAGACTTGGCATTTCAAATGGGAACTCTGGCATTCAAGTATAGAGTTTTTAAAATTGGTTTAGCCTTGCAACATTCCTAGAGCAAAGGACATTAGAATAAAACAGGTATATAAGACACTTTCTCTGAATGATCTGTATTTACCCTCCAAGTCTTGCCTAGCTGTAGCTTTCATATGAATCGATGGTGCTGGACTGTAACTGCAATGACAGCTAAGAAAGAACTAATCACAGAGACTGTTCAATTCTGGACCAAACTGTGCTGCTGTAGAGATCACAGAGGTTCTTGTGAGACCAGCAAGCAGAGCTGCAGATAGAAAGTAGTCAGAAAGAAAAAGGTATTGACAAACAAAGCCCCCTCCCCAACAAGCAAAATCATTTCTCTAAGACAGAAAGTTCCTCGCTCTACTTTTTCTGTTTTTCTAGAATTGGGACTTATGCCTTCTATGAGAAACAATTTAACAAGCAGCCTTGTCCAGGGCTGTATCCTTACCAGCAACGCACATGGATGCTCCCAACTTTTAGCCAGTTGCTTCTGTACAAGCCTACACATTGCTTAATTCCCCTTTACCTTCAAGCTAGCACCTCTGTCATT